AATGCCACGTAGAATTAAGGCAGTTCTGAAGGCGAAAGGGGGTCAAACACCGTATTAGTATGGTGTTCCTAATAATCCTTTAGGTGAGTGTATTTTATTTAGCAAAAGTGAAATATCACTGTACTGTAGCGTCACAAACACAAAGCTGTACATAAAAGAAACCATCACAACAACAACACAGGGATCCAGAAATTTAGTCACTACCCATCTCACTCTCTTCCCCTCAGTTTCAGTGCACTCTCAGGTTCGATGGCTGGATGTCTTTATCATAAGCTATGGCTGCACTTAACCTTGGCTCAGATACAGTTTAATTTTGAGCTCCACAATAGTTTTAAACACCATACAATGTACACAAAACACGATTTAGCTGCATACAAGTAAGCAAAACAACATGTGCCAGGTAGAAAAAGTCCTGTACATCCTCCATGCTTACATGTGGCTTACTTCTGTGAAAACAAAGGAAAAGCATTCTTCATTCCTTTGAAGAATAACCACTCAGGAAAAGAGACATCGAAATGAAGAGAGCTAATCAGGAAAGGGTCACGAGCTAAGTGCAAACCAATTGGAGCTCACTGATGTAGGCATAACAAATTTTTTACATTTATGAGCTTCCACAATAATGTGTTTACAGAAAGATAGGTTGTCAGAGAGAGGTGAAATTTTTCTCCGTTTCTGAAAAAAAAACCTGTGGTACTGCAGATGGAAGGCTTAACTGGCAGAAAATTTTTGTATTACTGAATGAAAATGTATTAGCGTGGACAGGCTATGACAGGAGAGTCACTGAGGAAACTACATGAGGACTAACTGTTGGGAAGTCACTGAGTATGACAGAAGTATCACTGGGGAAATGACACAAGGGCCCCCTGGCAAGGATAACTTACTTTGAAAGGAGACTCACTTGAGAAACATCACAAGGACCCCCTGGCAGGTAGTTGATGAGTTCAACAAGTGATTCACTTTGAAAAATGACACAAAAGTTTACTGGCGAGGAGTTGTTGAGTACGACAGAAGAATCACTGGAGAAATGATACGAGGGCCCCCTGGCAAAGATCACCCAGTTCAACAAGAGAGTCACTTGAGAAACAACACAAGGGCACCAGTCAGGGAGTTGTTGAGTACAACAGGAGAGAAACTGAGGAAACTACATGAAGGCCCCTTGTAGGGAGTCCCTAAGTATGACAGGACAGCAACTGGGGAAATAACATGAGGGCCTCATGATGAAGTGTTGCTGAGTATGACAAGGGAGTCACTGGAGAAATGACACAAAGGACCTCAGGTGGGGATCATGGAGTACAAGAGGAGAGTCATTAGGGAAACCACACAAGGACACCCCTTGGCAGGGAGTCTCTGGAGAAACGACACTAGGGGCCCCTGGCAGAGAATCACTGACATCATCCCTGTGAATAACTGACATCCTAGTCGTCATGGTGCCTGAATCATACCTCCTCCTCCAGTGTCACCAGCTGTGCTCTCTTTCGGTCTGTGCTCATTTTCCAGTGTTCTGGGACTCTGAAGTCGTCAGCAGTCTTCAGTTTGAAGTCTCTCATGTTTTCCTGAGCGTGCTGGATGGCCTGCACATCCTGGGGATCCTCTGCGGCCTCGCTGGGCTTGCTGGCCAGACTGCAGCAAATGACATAGAGTCAGGGTCAGGGACATGTGACCAAGAGCATGGCGGCCAACACGACAGCGGCACTCACAGATTGGCCCATTCCTTCCTCCGCTGCCCAATCTTGGCTTTTGCTCTGTTGACCTTTTCAGAAGCTTTCTGCAGCTTCTGGGCCTGCCGGGCAGCCAGCCTGCCTCTCCCGGTCTGCTGGGGCTGAAGGCCACCATGCTTGGGCAAAGTCTCTGTAACCACTAAGGGCACAGGAGGACACTTTAATCTGCACATGTACATATTTGTATTATACACTCACTCATACCGCCATGTACAGTGCCTGACAAAAGTCTTGTCACTTAACCAAGTTGTAGGAACAACAAATAATAACTTGACCTGTAGTTAATCAGTTGGAATCAGAAATGGCTTATAAGAAAGGCAAAACCCTCTAGATTATGCTTATTATACCAAAATAAAGTTTTTTATCATTCATTGAGTTTTGTCATGTAATTAGGACAGAAAGGTCAACTTTTGCCTGGACAAAAGTCTTGTCATAT